TCCACACTGGGCATGGAGCCTGTTTAAGATTCTCTCTCTCCCTCTCCTCTGCCCTCCCTTTCTCTCCCTCTCAAAAAAAAAAAAAAAAAAAATCTATATAGCTATAAACACACACACACACTCCCCAATTGAGCTGCATCCTGACCTCTGAATTACATACACGTCCTTCTTCCAACCCCCCAGTTTCCAAAATAACCTCTCCTCTCCATAAAGTCTCTCAAAGTCCCTCTTGAATAACAATTGCCTGACTAAAACAAAACCAGTCTTACATCTTTTCCCCTAAAGCATATGCAAATCACCGATCTTTCATTCTCGCTCTAAAATAAATCTGTCCACATCCTAAATCAGTAACTGCTTTTATGCTGTGTCTCTTGATTTAGGAGAGGTAACAATTATTATTATTTCTAGTATTAGTCATGGTTTCCAGAGAATAGCAAGGCTATAATTCATGCTTTACTGCAATTGGTAAATCAGGCAAGTGAAAAACAGCAGAAGCCCATAATTTAAATCCTCTTTACATTCTTAATCTAAGCCTCTGACATTTGAATTAGGAACAGTAATATATGGTTAAAATTAAACCATGAAGCAAGCCTATATAAATTATTATAAAAATCTAACTCTATCACCCAGAAACTCATAAATTAAGACACAAGATTAAAACTCTGCTTTTAATTCTTAGTATTATACCTTAATACTGCAATATATAACATGTTAAATAGATGTATATTTTGTTTTCATTTACATTGCCTGTTATATAGAGTAAGGCCTTTTGATCTTAACTAAAAGCCAGCAATTTGCAGCTGACAAGTTATTCCTCTGAAAACCTATTTTTCCAATTAATGAAATTCCAGAAAGCATTTTTATGTCATCAAATCTACACTCCACTTATTCTAAGTAAAAGAAATTATATTCTCTTTTCTCTTAATTGTGATTTAAGTCTAGACTCTTTCCCATCCTCTCCTTTTTTCCCTTTGATGCTGGCTTTCTAAGAATCATGGATTAGCTAAATGGTATAAGATTGAAAACTATTGCTTATAAAAAGAAAAATTACCACACTACTTCAGAGGAGGCAAGGGTAGGTGGTCTCTGATTCTGTGTCCCCAAATTATGTATGAATGGCTGCCACTTTGGGGTGGCAGTCACCATTTCCTCTCTGTTCTATCACAGGACATCCCCCCCCCCTTTTACCAGCCCCTCTTTGTCCTGTGGCTAAGAGTGCCTCTTCCACCCAGCCCTGGTCCCATCTTGCCTAAGTGCTGGCAGGCAAATGCAGACAGGAAAAAGAAAGGGATGCTACTAATGTTCCTTGAATACTTTTTGGTGTCAGGAGCTGGGCCAAGCATTTTTACATGTCACTCCACTTAATTCTGTATCAGCCCTGCGAAATTGGAGCTATTAGCCTCATTGGACAGGTGATGCAACTGAGGCCAAATGGAACCTTTAAGAAATGTGCCTGACACTTAACACAGCTAACCAAGGTCATAAAGGAAGCAAGGGCAATCAAAAAACTAAAAGGAAGGGACGCCTGGGTGGCTTAGTCAGTTGGGCATCCGACTCTCCATTTCAGCTCAGGTCATGATCTCAGGGTTGTGAGATGGCGCCCCGTGTTGGGCTCTGCGCTCAGTGGGGAGTCTGCTTGGGATTCTTTCTCTCCCTCTCCCTCTGCTCCTCCTTCCCCCACTTGCATGCGTGTGCTCTCTCTCTCTAAAATAAAGAAAATATTAAAAAAAAAAAAACTGAAAGGAAGGCAAATTCTGCCCACCTGACTCCTTACCACATCTCTCCAGCCCTCAACCCCGGGGCTCATCTCTGTGGGACTAGGAGGACCAGTTGTCTCCAGCCTAATGTTCTCAATGAGCCTTCACCTGGAACTCTTAATAGTCTCTTAAAGTTAACTCTTAAATGTTACTGACAATAAAGCCGTACATACAGCCTCAAAGACAAATGAAGGGATGGAAAGGTCTTTGGACTTCCATTTCCAGAAATATGGAAGACTAAATCTCCTAAAAAAAAAAAAAACTCTCCTCGGGGCGCCTGCGTGGCTCAGTTGGTTAAGCGACTGCCTTCGGCTCAGGTCATGAGTCCTGAGTCCTGGGATCGAGTCCCACATCAGGCTCCTGGCTCAGCAGGGAGTCTGCTTCTCCCGCTGACCCTCTCCCTTCTCATGCTGTTTCTCTCTCTCTTGCTCTCTAATAAATAAATAAATAAAATCTTAAAAAAAAAAATCTCCTCCTACAAAATAACTAGAAATTCTGTAGGTTTATTTTTTTTTAAAGATTTTATTTATTTATTTGACAGAGAGATAGAGAGCACAAGTAGTCAGAGAAGCAGGCAAAGGGAGAAGCAGACTCCCCATCGAGCAGGGAGCCCGATGCAGGACTCCATCCCAGGACCCTGGGATCATGACCTGAGCCGAAGGCAGATGCTTCACCAACTGAGCCACCCAGGCACCCCTGTAGGTTTATTTTTAATTTTTTCGATGTGTAACATAACTCAGCCATCAAGAAAGAGAAGGAAATCTCCAAAGGTCAAATGCAAAAAAAGATGCTGATACCAGAACAGTAAGCAGATGTTAATGCTTCAACAGCCCTGGTGTTTTTACACTTGTCTGTAACTAATATTCAAAGAGATATTAACAGAAATTTTCTGAATTTAGGAAAGTCATAAATCATCAGATTCAGAAAGCACAAACCATAAACAGGATTTTTTTTAAAAAAAGAGAAATTCCAAATTGTAAAGGAAAAACTCAGATTTGTCCTTCCTATGTAGGGAAAAACCTGTCTAGTCTACCTTGTGTGTTGGTAAAAACCCAGTTCTTCCCACCTGTGTTTCTTCTTTACTTTTACAAAGACGCTATCCTCACACAGGACTCCTCCCTTCTGACACTCCTGGTCCCCAAATGTGTGGAGGTTTTTCTCCACACCAAGCAATTCTCTGTGACACCAGCTTGGTGTCCCATAATCTGACTCAATTCTTTTTTTTTTAATTTTTAAAGATTTTATTTAATTATTTGACAGAGAGAGAGACAGCAAGAGAGGGAACACAAGCAGGGGGAGGGGCAGAGGGAGAGGGAGAAGCAGGCTCCCCGCTGAGCAAGGAGCCCGATGCAGGACTCGATCCCAGGACCCTGGGATCATGACCTGAGCCGAAGGCAGACGCCTAACGACTGAGCCACCCAGGCGCCCCTATCTGACTCAGTTCTAACACTATCTTTGAGATAGTGCCAGACTGCACAGGTTAAGGGCTCAGGTCCCACAAAACCGCTCACCCTCCCACTGCCTACTTCAGATGACAATGCAAGCAGTAGGTGCCCAGATTACCCACAACTTCCATCCAATTTGGCTGCAAATGGGAGGTTGCCATGACTCCCTCCTCAGGTTCAATTAATTTGCTAGAGTGGCTCACGGAACTTAAAGAAACACATTTACCAGTTTATTTAAAGATATGACAAAAGATACAGATGACCAACCAGATGAAGAGATGTACAGGGCAAGGTCTCGGAGGATTCCCAGAGCAGGAGTCACCCACCCTGTGTGGTTGTGTTTGCCAACCTGGAAGCTCTCTGAACTGCCTACTAGTGGGATTTTATGGAGACTTCATCATGTAGGCATGACCAATTATTAACTCCATTCCCAGCCCCTTTCCCCCTCTCTGGAGGATGGGGTTGAGGCTGAAAATTTCAAGCTACTAATCATCACGGCTTGGTCTTTCTGGTGACCAGCCCCCGTCCAAGAGCCATCCAGGAACCCACTCACAGTCACTCCAATAGCACAAAAGATGCTCCTAGTATTCTTATAACTTAGGAAAATACAAGGGTTTTAGGAGCTCTATGCCAGGAACCAGGGGCAGAGGCCAATATATATATTTTTTATTATCCCACACAAATCTAAACACATTGCTGGGGCGTCTGGGTGGCTCAGTCATTAAGTGTCTGCCTTCTGCTCAGGTCACGATCCCAGGATCCTGGGATCGAGCCCCGCATCGGGCTCCCTACTCTGCGGGAAGCCTGCTTCTCCCTCTCCCGCTCCCCCTGCTTGTGTTCCCTCTCTCACTGTCTCTCTCTGTCAAATAAATAAATAAAATCTTAAAAAAAAAAAAATCTAAACACATTGCTATCAAATATCAAAACAAAATATCAGGGTGCCTGGCTGGCTCAGTTCTTAGAGCGTGTGACTCTTGATCTCAGGGTTGTGAGTTCAAGCCCCACGTTGGGCATGCAGCCTACTTAAAAATATATATATGTATATGTAATATGCATATATATATCTTAGAGCAGCCATAGGGAAAAATAGATTATTATAAAGATAAGCCGACAACAGGCATCTCAACAGCAACAAGAAAAACCAGAAGAAGGGTGCCTGACTGCTCAGTCAGTGGAGTGAGTGACTCTTGATCTCGGGGTTGTGAGTTCAAGGCCCACATTGGGCCAAGAACTTAATTCAAAAAATTTTAGGGACACCTGGGTGGCTCAGTTGGTTAAGCATCTGACTTGGGCTCAGGTTGTGATCTCAGGGTCCAGGGATAGAGCCCTGCATCCAGCTCCCCACCAGTGGGGAGTATGATTATTCCTCTGCCCCTCCCCCAACTCATGTTTGCGCTCTCTCTCTCTCTCATAAATAAGATCTTTAAAAAATACATACATACATACATAAAATGAAAAAAAGTTTTAGGGGTGCTTGGGTGGCTCAGTTGGTAGAGTAAGTGACTCTTGATCTCAGGGTCATGAGTTCAAGCCCCATGTTGTGAGTAGAGCCTACTTAAAAAACTTTTTTTAGGGGTGCCTGGGTGGCTCAGTCTTTAAGCGTCTGCCTTCGGCTCAGGTCATGATCCCAGGGTCCTGGGATCGAGCCCCGCATCGGACTCCCTGCTCTGCGGGAAGCCTGCTTCTCCCTCTCCTGCTCCCCCTGCTTGTGTTCCTGCTCTCGCTGTGTCTCTGTCAAATAAATAAATAAAATCTTTAAAAAAAAATTTTTTTTTTAAGATATATATGTCAGAGGTACCTGGGTGGATCAGTCAGTTAAGTGTCCGACTCTTGATTTCAGTTCATGTCTTGATCTCAGGGTTGTGAGTTCAAGTCCCATGTTGGACTCCACGCTGGGTGTGGAGCCTACTTAAAAAAAAAAAAAGATATGTAGGTCATATAACTTTCAACCTTTTTTCTCATTTCCAAAACTGCCTATATAGTGTACATAAGATAAATCCTTATTTTATACAAACCCAGCAATTATTCTGAACAATTACACTGCAAGTATTGTCTGTCTTAAGAAAAAGCATTAATCTGTTAAATGCATGCATTTGAAATATACCACAATTTTAACCTTCATTTAACATTTATTTTTTAATATATACCTAAGAATAAAATTGTCCAGGCTTCTCTCTACCCAAGAGTCCTTGCTCCTCATCACACATCCCTCTTCAACCACCTTTCCCTTTCCCCCAAATTTTGTTCTAATTTTTCACCTTTCTATTACCACCACCCCATTTCTTTCTACAGAATTCTCAGGCTAGGGGTCCTCAACTCAGGAACCTGTCATTTCTACCTCCCATCCCTACTCAGCCTGCCTTCATCTTATTGAGACAGAACTACAGACCAGGGAAGCTGTCACTAGCTGCTTGGACTTGGGCCATTTCCAATCCCGCTTATCAGGAATCGATACGGACTGTAGAACTTGGGTAAGGAGTGCTACCTTAGCAAGGTAGCAAGATTTTGAGAACATACTTTTGCATGAGGCTGAAGTCAAAGCTTAGGAACTACCTCCAGAGTGGGGAGGAAAACATTGGTAGATCTGGCTAAAGTTCTCACTACACATTGGTAGGACAGGTTCCCCCCCTCCTTTTTTTTTTTCTGTCCAGAATACAATCACGGTCACTGTCAGGAAACATGTAGCCCACAAAGAAAGAGACCATAGGTTGGCTCAATGCAGTACCACTAACAAATACTAGTCCTTAGTAGGCGTCAGAATAGGTTGGAGTGGATTCCAGATACACACGGAGTAAACTAGCAGCTTTGCACACCAGAGCAGAGAGGACTGATCTGAGTCCCAGTGATGTATGTCACTCCCAACTGTTCTGCAGCTGGTAGAAGAGACAGTGCTATAGTTTCATGAGTTGCTTGGGCCAGTGGTATCTAGAACCAGGCTTCCTCCCTTTGTGACCACAAAGCCAAGTTCAAGGGAGTACAATCTGTGCAGTCACAGGGAGCTCCCACTCACAAGGGCCAGTGCTTGATTTAAGGCTCTGCTATTGTCATCTTGAAATTCTTAATATTTTTATCTTTGAATTTATGTGTTGTAAGTTAAGTTCAATGGGACAATGGACCATTCATGGGAGCCAAGAAGATAATATGGAAGAAAAAAGCTTTGTATTTTAGTACTTTTTTTTTTAAAGATTTTATATATTTATTTGACAGAGAGAGAGAGAGCACAAGCAGGGGGAGCAGCAGGGCACAGGGAGAGGGAGCAGCAGACTCCCCACTGAGCAGGTAGCCTGATGCAAGACTCTATCCCAGGACCCTGGGCTCACGACCCGAGCCGAAGGCAGATGCTTAACGACTGAGCCACCCAGGCACCCCTGTATTTTAGTACTTTTAACAGCTTTTTTTTTTCTTGCTCTTGAAAAAAAGCATTTTCATTTTGTACTGGGCTTGGCCAAAGAGGTAGCCAGTCCTGCATGACTACCCCATTTTTCCTGAAAGACATCAGCAACTACCACAAATCTGCCAACCAGATACCCTAGCTCTGCTGCAAGGAACCTGGAACTTTAGGACACTTTTTGCTTTTTTATTCCCCTTCATTTCACAAAATACATTTATTAGAAGGAAATTAGAAAATATGTTTCATCAAAAAGAAAAATATAGGGATGAATGGGTGGCTCAGTCGGTTAAGGGTCTACCTTCGGCTCAGGTCATGATCCCAGAGTCCTGGGATTAAGTCCGGCATCGGGCTCCTTGCTCAGCAGTGAGTCTGCCTCTCCCTCTGTCTGCCGCTCCCCGCCCCCCCGCCCCAAGCTCGTGCTCTCGCTCTCTCTGACAAATAAATAAATAAAACCTTTAAAAAAAAGAAAAGAAAAATACACAAAGATCATTGCAAATCCCAAGATCCAGAGCTAAACACTTTAATGTGTTGGCATCTCATTCCATTGTTGTTTGGAGAGTGAGCTGGCTTATGTTCCAGTAACTTTCCAGAGCCTTCTCCAGATCTCAGCTACGTCGATCTTAGTGTCATGGGAAACTAGGGGATGGTTTTTTTCTTTCTTTCAATTCACCATACCATCATGCCCTTTTTAACCTTTTATCTCAGTAGCATCATGTTGGACATAATACTTCTCTAGGGGAGCCTACCATTTCCCCCACCTGCATTTAGGGTGCAGGCTGCTCTGCTGCTCTAAGAATCTCTCAAACTTATTTGGGACCACTCCACTCTCCTTCCTAGGCCACCTCCTATAGGAACCCGAAAGGGTTATATTTTACTCCTTCTTATCTGGACAAAACAAAATGTCCCTTCTCAAAGTGGCATTCACTCCACTCTCTCCATTCCCTGGGCACTTAGTGATGGCAAGGTATCACATTATCCAAAAGGAAACACATTGAGAGGTATTTCAAACACTATCCATGTCACATACATTTTAAGGCCTTAAGACTTATTACCAGATTACCCTACAAAATATAGTACCAATTTAAACTGCCAGTAGCAATATATGAGGTGCCCTTTCTCATAGTCCTTGAACAGTGGACACTAAACTTGGCCACAGTGTGCAAAATCTAGTTATTTCAATCTTTTAGTTTGCATTTCTTCAAGTATTAGTGAAATTGACAAACTGTGTTATGTTTATTTGTTCTTTTGTGAATTTCCTGCTCAAGATCTTTTCCTATTATTCTACTCATTTTTTTTATGTTTTTATTGATTTATGAGAGCTCCTTATGTTACCAACTAGACCCCAAGACCTGGCCTTTACTGCCCACCTGCTTGTACCCACTAATCTTTGTCTTACATTTTCGTCTAAGCTCTTCTTTCCGGCTTTCCTCTTGACTTGGGCAAATGAAACCCAAAACGACCCCCAGGGTAATGGCAACTGCCTGACAATACCTCACTAGCCCAGACCACCCAGACCTTTTTTTTTTTCTTTTTATTAACATATAATGTATTATTTGTTTCAGGGTACAAGTCTGTGATTCACCAGTCTTACACAATTCACAGCACTCACCTTAGCACATACCCTCCCCAATGTCCATCACCCAGCCACCCTATCCCTCCACCCCCTACCAGTCCAGCAACCCTCAGTTTGTTTCCTGAGATGAAGAGTCTCTTACGGTTTGTCTCCCTCTCTAGTTTCGTCTTGTTTCATTTTTCCCTCCCTTCCCCTATGATCCTCCATCTTGTTATCTTGTTTCTCAAATTCCTCATATCAGTGAGATCATAATTGTCTTTCTCTGATTGACTTATTTCGCTTAGCATAATACCCTCTAGGTCCATCCACGTCATTGCAATTGGCAAGATTTCATTTTTTTTTGATGGCTGCATAATATTCCATTGTGTGTGTGTGTGTGTGTGTGTGTATATATATATATATGTATATACATATATATATAATCTTTCCACCCAGACCTTTTGACCTAAACCTGACATGCACTTGTGCAGATGGACAATGAAGTGACCCCTGGAATGACCTCCAATTACCTTTACCTCATTATAATACTAAAATATTATATTTCCACCCAGACCTTTTGAGCTAAACCTGACATGCACTTGTGCAGATGGACCATGAAGTGACCCCTGGAATGACCTCCAATTACCTTTACCTCATTATAATACTAAAATATTATATTTCCACCCAGACCTTTTGAGCTAAACCTGACATGCACTTGTGCAGATGGACCATGAAGTGACCCCTGGAATGACCTCCAATTACCTTTACCTCATTATAATACTAAAATCTCTGCCCAAGGAGGAGCCTCAGCCTCATTTCCATAACATACAATGTATATATAAGCATGTTTCCTTAAGGTGCATGTGTGACTTTCTGCCAGCCTCTACACAGATGACAAGGCTTCCCTATCTAAATATTCATCCTAACACTAAACAAAAGGAACCCATTCACCCTCTCTCAGGAAGTCAGGGCTTTGGAAGCCATTCCCCATGATCTCATTTGCTGCAAATAAGGTTTCCTCTGTGGGACGACTCAACCTGGTGCCATTGGACTCACCAAGGAGCAAACTTATGTTGGTTCGCTAACACTTATATATAAAAATATTAACAAGCTTGCCATTTGTCTTTCAATTTTATTTACGGTATGTTTTGCTTTTCAAAATTTTTAAAAATTTATGACGTCAAATCTATCATTTTTTTCCTTTTACATTTTCTTTGTGTTTAGAAGGGCCTCTACACACTGATTATATGAATACATATCTACATTTCATTCTGTACTCTTGTGTTCTACTGTTTTCATTTCAGTGTATATTTTGGTGCAAGATGTAAGGTAAGGCTCTTTGTTTCACCAAATGATTAACAAGTTGTCATAATGTCTTGGTACTCTTTGTAAAGAAGAAAAATATAGTGCTCTTGATTTTCCAGGGCACTGTGTCTTCAATGTATTAACTGTAAGTGACCACCATAAACTTATTTTCTGACATGATACCCACTCTGAGGCATCTAGGTCTAACCTAAGTTCAATCTCCTAAGGCATATGATCATCTGGACTTGAGTGAATGTGGTAAATACAAAGTGACCTTCCAGATGTATCTTAGAGAGGTAGAATATCTGATAATGCCCTCCGCCCTGACCATTTTCCAAAGACCAATCGCTGGGATTTCTCACAATGTCCTGGCCAGAGTCTCACAAATCTTGAAGAACTCTCTGTATTTCTGCTGTCACAATGTATCATTCCTGAACCAACCCAGAAATGTTTCTTTTACAAGGCTTAGAGGTATAAAGCACAAGTTCTTTAGGGCTGAGATATCTTCAGGATGCTGGACAAAGTACCATTATCTTGAGAGTGGAAAACCCCCTAAACTCTTAAGGACATCAAACAATTACTGGAGTTCCCCCAGTTTTCCATCACCACCCTAGTAACCTTACTAGCAGACCTTGAGAAGGAAAGCTTCTACCTAATCCCTGGCTGCAGTCACCACATGCCAGCAACTGAAATCTTTGTTTTCCTCTGCCTTTACCCTTGCCTCCCATACCCCAACATGCTCCTAAGTTATTAAAAACAAACTCCAATTCAGGGTACCTGACTGGCTCAGTCAGAAGAGCATGCCACTCTTGATCTCGAGGTCATGAGTTTGAGCCCCATGTTGGGTGTAGAGATCACTTAAAAAACAAACTTTAAAAAAAAAATCAAAGGGACGCCTGGGTGGCTCGTTCGGTTAAGCATCAGACTCTTGATCTTGGCTCAGGTCATGATCTCAGGGTCGTGAGATTGAGCCTCTGCATCAGGCTCCACACTCAGAGGGGAGTCTGCTTGGGATTCTGTCTCTACCTCTCCTTCTGCCCCTCCTTCCTGCACTTCCTCTCTCAATCCTTCTCTCCTTTTCTCCCCACCCCACCCCCGCCAAATAAATAAATCTTTAAAAAAAATTTTTTAAATAATAAAACCAACCTCCAATTCTATGGAGAGATGCATTAATCACAGGTTTCCTCCAAAATGTATTACCTTACTCTTGTACCTACATCTTAAAGAATCTGGCTTTGGCTGAAATTAAGAACATAGTATGAAAACAGGAATTCCAGTCTTTTAGCTGTAGACCTACTACTACTTCAAAGTCCTCAGGTCCTTGTGATCCTAAGGTTAGAACACCATTGGCTCAAGTAACTAGGCAAATCAGAAAACTGTTTTGACAAATAAGGAGGGCAGTATTTGTAGATATATTTGTTTCCCATCCAATATAGGCAGGACCACTCACCAGATGCCCTATCACATAAGCCAGAATACCAGGGAGTCTCAGAGATCACTCCACCCCCAATGATCCCCTGGCCTAAAAAATTATATCTACCTAGCATCATGTGGAATTACAATACAATAGGGAAAGCAGAAGAATATTAAGTAGACCGATGCATGGCTGAGGTACAGAGCTAGCCAGGGCATCATTTGTTGAGATGAAAGCAAACAGAAGGATGGGAGGATAGATACTCTTTCCTAAGGACTTTCCATAGGTCTGAGAGAAGCCCATACATAACTGATGTACACCTGCCACAAGTAACTCTCCATTATCTGCAAAAATATCCTCCGCAAATACCTTCCCACGTACGCACACTTGTGAAACATGTACCCAGATCAAGAATGCGTTAATTCAACAAACACTTCCTGCGCATTGTTTATGTGCCATATACCAGGAGAGAGGGTGAGGATGCAGTGATGAACCAAACAATCATGGTTCCAGTCCTCACAGTTTAGGGGATAGTGAAGGTAAGAAGATATTAAATGCATAATTACAATAGAGTTGATCACACTACTATGATTCAGAAAGTATAGGACAGACCCAGAAGGCTTAAAGGGTTCCTATTTGGGATTCTGCTCCCAATTCTAATGTGTGTGTTGGGGGTGGGGGATGTTCCTCCACACCACCAACAGGCAATGCTCCGGACATCAGCTGGGTGTCCTACCACTCAACTCAATTCTGATACTATCTAGCCGGAGATGACATCAGGTCTCCCAGGTTAAGGGTTCAGTCCCACAAGACTGCACCACACACACACACACACACACACACACACACACACACACACACACACACACTCTTCAGACAGCAGAAGTGAGCACAGGTTGTTATCTGTGCTTCTGACCAGCAGGATAGAACAAGCCCCACCAACTCAGGATGCCAATTACAAGTCCAGGTTCTTACCTGTATATCTGATAGCTATAAATCAGAAATTCCCCTGACCCGCTCCTTCGGTCCCTTTAATTTGATAGAGCAGCTCTCAGAACTCAGGAAACCTGTGGTATCTCTCCCGATGGGATGGGGGCCCCCAAACGTGCGGCAACGATCAGGTGGAAGCCTGTGGCAAGGGCGGTGAAAGAATTCACCCAAAACAGAACAAAGGAGATAGAAGTTTATTGAATACACCGGAAAGGAGCTACTGGCAGGACAGCAAAGGAAAAAGTGTCTGCAACAAGGAAGTGGGTAGGGGCTATATTTAAAGTGGGAAGGTGAGGAGGAGGTATGGCGCCATATGCAATCTTCCCTTGTCTGGCAACTGTGCCTGGTTGTAAGTAGCCCATTGGTCAGTTCGGGCTGGATATTTTGAGGTGGGTCACCTGATGGGCCTGTCTGGATTCAGCCAGGACTTGGCTGTGGGTCCTTTCTATATTCCATTGCTCAAGCCTGTTGCCTAAAAGCAGCCTCTACAAAACCCATTACTTCTAGATTATTGGTTTAGTATGAAGGAATTAAATTCAAAAACGGCCACATGGAATGGATGCACAGGGCAAGGTATGGGGAGAGGGCAGGGAGCCTTCCATGCACTCCCCGTGTGCCACTCTCCCCAGTTCTCCACAAATTCAAGACCCCAGAAACTCTCTAAACCCTGTCCTTCTGGGTTTTTATAGAGGCTTCTTTACATAGGCATGACTATGTAATTATTACATAGGCCAATTAAATCATTGGCCATTGGTGATGGATTCAACCTCCAGCTCCTCTCCTCTCCCTGGAAATCAGAGGGTGGGACTGAAAATTCCAATCTCCTATTCCAGGTTGATTCCCCCGGCAACCAGCCCCCATCCTAGGTGCATTCCAAAACTCACCTCCTTAATATAAACCTAGTGGTAGTAGAAAGGGACTTGTTCCAAATAACAAAACACCCATTTCATCTTTATGGCTCTGAAAAGATTTCAGGAACTGAGGAAAGAGACCAAATATTACAATAAAAGATGCTCCCATTACCCTTATGTTCAGGAAATTCCAAGGGTTTTGACAGCTGTAAGCCAGGAACCCGGAACAAAAACCAAGTATTTATGAGAATTATATTTTGGTCATCTGTATGACCAAATATGTGTTTCCTTTTTTTTTTTTTTACAATTTTATTTTTAACTAATCTCTACACCCAACATGGGGCTTAAACTTCCAACCCCAAGATCAAGAGTCATATGCTCCACCGACTGAGCAAGCCAGGCACCCCTATATTTCTTATAAATCACAATATCATAGTTCCCCTACTTATTCTTAATTTCCAAATGTTCCAGAAAATTGTCTCTAATGATAATATCATGTAGCTCTCCTTAAAGCTATGATTCATCTTGCTGTTAGCAGAATCATCTTCCTAAAACACAAATCTGGTCATGATACAAATTTATTTCAAATTCTTTGGTGCCTACCAAATATATTCCTTGGTTAGCTTGACAACCAATGACCTTCACAATTTGGCCACAATCTATTTTATTTTCACGTTCTGCCATTTAGCACCAGATCTCTCTCAATCCACCATGCTAGCCCATACTAAACTACTCCCAAAAGATACTGTCAGGGAGTAAGACCTTCCTTTGCCCTATGGTTCTTCTAGCTCGACTTAGAATCATAGTGACATGAGACAAAGTAACAGGAAAAAATCAAATTTAATAGGCATACCTACGGGGGAGTCCACAAACACTTGGAAATTCCAAAAACAATTTTAGGCAAAACATGAAGCTTATCTGAGCTAAGGACAGGGGTAAGGCCCTGAGGACTGTAAGAAGGTGAAAGGAAATATTTGGAAAAACCAGGTTTGCTCTATTATGCAGATAAGTTCCTTAGGTAAAGGGCAGTCTCAGTTAATAGCTCACTTCCTGATACAGGCTCTCCTTTCCAATGTAAATTTAGGCATCTGAGGGGAAGGCAGAGAACTTTTCCTGAATCAGCTGGGTTTTGATCACTTTTAACTCAAAATAATCCTTATGCCAAAGTGGCACCTTCTGGGGTGTCTCACCCTGCACCCCTTCAATACCATGTACTTTTAGGTTCCCAGCCAATCCTATCTTGCTGGTGGTGGGGATTGGTCATTGCTGCTGTTGTTTTAATTTTTCCATTCAAATCTATCCTCAACACAATGAACATGATGCTGTAAATGCACATCTGACCTTGTAATTTCCCAGTGGTTCCCCTGCATGTGCAGGATAAAATTCAAAATTTTTAACTTGCCATCCATGATCCAGCCTCCTCTGACTTCCCTAATTCCCCACCACTCTCTGCCTGGTATTTCATGCTCTGGCAACTCAAACTGCTTATAGTTCTCCACTTGTATTTTTCTCTCTGACTCGCTGGTGCTCTTGCCTTTAAGAATGCCTCAGCACCCCCCCCCCCCACCCCCTTCATCTGCCTAATTCCTACAGGTTCCTTAACACTCAGCTCAGATACCATTCCCTCCAGGAAATCTTCCCTGGTACCTTCTCAAGCATCTCTCATACCTCCTCCTAGAATACAGAATGTAAAGTCCTATCACAGTTTGTTGCTCATTGTATTATAATTATATTTTTGTGCGCCAGTGAGCCCACGTGATTGTAGTTTTCTCTAAAGGGAGACACCGTGTCTCACCCCCGTGTATCCCCAAAGTCTAACACTATGTGGCACACAATAGGCCTACAATAAATGCTTATTTATTAAATTAACAAATAGACTGTGTCCTCTCAATTGCTTGCCAAACCAATCTCCCTGCCCCAATACAAAACTGAAGAAATGCCTTGGGAAAGGTGAAAAATCGGCTACAAACTCAGTCACAAACACATTTTGAGAAACCTTTCAAATATGGTTAAAACTCTTTAGCATCGTGCGTATATAGCTTCTCTACCCAAATATTTGGCCGAGAGGACATCTTCATTGAGTGAACGGAGTGTTCTGATAAAGAAGCATTTGTATTTTACATAACGCCTTATTACGATTATCTGTTCATACGTGTCTCAAGGTTATCAACAACCCTTGACAAAGAGTAAGCACTCAATAAATGTTTGTTGAATAAATATATAAGACATATACTCATTCTGTCTCCTCTACCAGAAATGCCCTTTCTCCCTCTCCTTTTCTACCTAAACAAATTATATCTGTCCTGCAGGGTTCAGCTCAAATGTCTACCTTTCTGACTCAGCAAAAAGCGGAAATAATCATTTCCTCCTCAGAACTACTGTAGTTCTTTATACATATAGTTCTCTTTTTTTAAGTAATCTCTAACCCCAATGTGGGGCTCGAAACCACGACCTCGAGATCAAAAGTTACATACTCCTCTGACTTGTAGCATCTACTACATGGTACTGTAGTCAGTTAAATTTAAGAACCATCACCCAGGGGCGCCTGGGTGGCTCAGTTGGTTAAGCGACTGCCTTCGGCTCAGGTCATGATCCTGGAGTCCCGGGCTCCAGTCCCGCGTCAGGCTCCCATCCCGCGTCGGGCTCCCTGCTCGGCAGGGAGTCTGCTTCTCCCTCTGACCCTCCTCCCTCTCGTGCTCTCTGTCTCTCATTCTCTCTCTCTCAAATAAATAAATAAAATCTTTAAAAAAAAAAAAAAGAACCATCACCCACTATTTGTGAATTCCTCAAGAGCAGGAACTTTATCTTATTTACATTTGTATCTCCGTGTAGATACCTAAAAATTGAAGGCCCTAATTAATAGTCTTAAATTAGATTGAAAGGGGGGTAACAGTAAGAATAGAAAGGAGGAGATATGTGTTATAATAACTGGTAAAGACCAAATCAAGAGAAATTTTTAAACAAAAGTAGTGAGAGGGGGTAAAAAAAAGTAGGGAGAGGGAAGAAAGAAGTATGGAGAAAATCAAGGATGATTAAGGGTTTGAACCTGAAGGGCTAGAACAATTGAGTCATTTGAACCCAAATAACAGAAGTAAGGAAATGAGTACCACGGATAGGTTTGGGCAGGTGTAGGCAAATTGGACTTTACATTCAATTGTGGACATGCTGAGTTTAAGGTTCCAGGAAATATCCAGCCAACATTTAAAACCTAAATCTTAATTTAAAATGCAAGAGAGGCAGGGTGCCTGGGTGGCTCAGTCATTTAAGCTTCCATTCTATTTTTTCTTTTTTTTTTAAGATTTATTTATTTCAGAGACAGGGGGTGGGGAAGGGGCAGAGGGGAAGCAGACTCCCCATTGAGCGCAGAGCCCCACTCTAGGTTCAACGCAGGGCTTGATGTCCAGACATGGAGATCATGACCTGAGCCAAAACCAGGAGTCCAATGCTTAACCGACTGAGCCACACAGGCGCCCCAAGCCTCTGACTCTTGATTTCGGTTCAGGTCATGATCTCAGCGTTGTGAGATCGAGCCCTACATGTTGGGTTCTGTGCTCAGCGGGGAGTCTGCTTCTCTCCCTCTGCCTGCCCCCCTGTGCTCTCTTTCTTTCTCTCTAAAATAAATGAATAAATTTTTTAAATAAAAAAATAAATCAAGTAATTCTCTCTGTCTCAGATAAATAAATAAAATCTTTAAAAATAAAAAAAAAAATAAAAAAAAAATAAATCAAGTAAAATAAAATGCAAGAGAGGGGCGCCTGGGTGGCTCAGTCAGTAGAGTATGCAACCCTTGATCTCAGGGCCTTGAGTTCAAGCCCCATGTTGAGCCTAGAGCTCATTTAAAAATAATAATAATAATAATAAAATAAATTTTAAAAATACAATGAAAGAGTCATCTATGATTGGAGCTATCAGGATTAAGTGACAAGAAAAAATATCCACTTTCACCATATTGATCTTAGTAAAAAAATTAAAAGAAGGAAGAAAATTGAGTGCTAAATATTGGAAAGTAAGAGACAACTTATTTGCTGGTAATATGATGGCCTAACCTGAAAAGGTATAAAATAAAATAAAAACTAATAAAATTATAGGCGTCAAGATAAAACATGAATACACAAAAGCAATTGCTTTCAGTATCATGATAATAACTAACTGAAAACGCAATGAAAAAAACATATTCATGACAAAAGCAAAACTATAAAATACCTAGAAAAACTGTGTAAAATCGATATCAAGAAAACTATAAAACGTCACTGAAGCACATAAAAGAACATCTTTAAAAGTGGAAAAA